GCAATAGATTTACTGTATTTTAATTAATTTTCAATCTGTATTTATTTACTTACTGCTTTAATTAAAGGTACAGGATAGCACTATCCTTGTACAATAACTTTTTTTTGTCACTAAATGTTTTCAAGTATTAAATTGATAAATTTATATAACAAATCTATGTTACAGAAGCCACTGTGAGAATAATATGGATATTCCTCTAAATATTGTGGTCAAGGGACATAAGTATCTAAATATCCGATACGTTTTTGACCTTGAAGAAGCCGAATAAATTTGAAGTTTAATTATCTTCATTTTCACGCTGGCTCTCTTTTTAAGATAATTCAACTAAATAACATTTTCTTTATTCAAAATCTGTTGCTGAAATTGGTTATTGCCATTGTTATCCCATGTAACATGTGCCAGTACAATGGAAGGACGGTGTGTCAAATCGATCCGTTTCCATCCAATCAAATATTCGCCATCGAGCGATATAAATGTCAATAAAATAATTAATGATATTTATTTTGACTGAAAATTAACTTTAAAATACAGAAATTGTGATTAACTATTTCAAAATACAAAAATTAAATCGGATACTTTCATCACCCACCTTTCACTTTCATTGATGCATAAAAAGGGGAGATAACCCGGAAACATAGTGACTAAGTACCGACACTGTATGGGTGGATAACAAAATTCCGACTTTACTCAATCATCAGTTTCTCGCAAAATAAGAGGCGAATGATGACATTAATAACAGGGTAGAGCTTTGATAATGACGCATATTGTGAGACGAGCTCAAATATGCGGTAATATATTTAAAATCCTGTCCCAATCTTGAAATAAATTCCATATTCATCTAGAAAACATTGAATATCCTCTATATATTTTATACAATGAAAAATGTATTTGTAAGCAAATAAGATATTATTCGCAGATATGTGAAAGGTCATCAACTTGGATGCGATGCGACGCCTATTTTACGATTTTAGTCATGTTTTTTTCCGCACATTCCCTAGTCAAGTGATTCTGCCGTATATTTGTGTGCAAATTCATTGAAGAGTAATAGAAGGGTCTAAACATTTCGATATATTGTAAGTGCATATCCTCAATAATCATGACAAGCTTTAACACATAAACTCAACGCAGCACAGTTAAGGTGCCAAATGGAAATATCGGCGATTTTTTTTAGATAGAAAATACATTCTTTACAAGGCTGGGCATTTCTTTTTAGGACTTCACAATTATCGGACAAATGCAATGTGGTTGAAAACTAAATGTTGAGGACGATTAGATTTCTTATTAAGACTTGTCACGTGATGTGGCAGTCACGTGATTTTAGCAAATGTACCTGAAGTATTGAGGTCATCTATAAATTCTAATATTGCAAGGGCATAACCAAGTTAAAAATCTAAGTTTAACATATAATTATTTTCAACACTCTTTGTAGTTTTTGAAAAGTGCTGCGAACCTATATAGATTCAACTATCTAACTGCTAAAATTACATTTGTTAGACCGTATGTTGAATATTTTGCTGGTCAAGTACATTAAATATAGATATAATTAAGTCATTTGCAAGATTTCAACAGGTTCGCAGCACTTTTCAAATATCTTCATACTTCTTGAGTTTATGTGTAAAAGCTTGTCATAATTCATTGAGGGTATGCCCTTGCAATATATCGATTTATTACGACCCTTCTATTACCCTTCAATGAATCTGCATACAAATATACGACAGTATCGCTTGTCTATGGAATGTACGGGAAGTATATGAATAAAATCATAAAACAGACATCGCATCCAAGTTAATGGCCTCTTATATATCTACAAGTTATATTTTATTTAATTACAAAATACATTTTTCATTGTACAAATATAACTTGATCCGCCTCTCACTGCATACAAACTGCGTCAAATTTTCCGATATGACGTCACATTGACAAGTGCATTGCAATCAGTGAATTGTTTATATATTGCTGTGTGGGATTTAACCAACAACAATAATGCATGCACTAGTTAGTATTGATGTAGTTTAAAGCTATTCATAAGTTTAAAATAGCAAATCATTTCATTTTGTGGTAATTTGAAGAACTTATATTTTTGTGTGATGTCATAGTAAGCATTTCCCTTATAAATTAGGCCCCGCCTCCTTACTGCAGCCTTAACTGTGCTGCGAAGAAGAATTAAGATTTTTTTAAAGTGCTAGGACGCAGCTCTGTTAAGGCTGCATAATGGGGACGGGGCCTAAATTATACGGGAAATGCTTACTGTGACATCACACAAAAATAGCAATTCCTCACAATAACAGAAAATGAAATAATTTGCGATTTTAAGCTGCATATGAATAATGAACTACATCAAAACTTGCCACTGCATTCATTTTTATCTCTAGTTAAATCCCAAACAACAAGATAAAAACAAGTCACTGAATGCAATGCACTTGTCAACATGACGTCATCATGGTAAATTTTGACGCATTTTATGTACAGTGAGAGGCGGATCAAGTATTTTTTTCACAGTGAAAAATGCATTTAATTATTAAAGAGAATATTATTTGCAAATGTTAGGTAGACCATTAATACAAATCTGAAACCTTTGTTTAGTGCTATCATTTAAAAACTATCGAGAAAATGTATTGAATTAATTTTACAGTGTTTTTTGTACAGGGTTTGCATGTTTCACACCGAGGTGCCTCATTAAATCGCGTTTTCGCAAGGGCATACACTTAATTGATCTTGACCATTTTTTAAAATATACATAACGGAAACATTCCTTAACTTGAAAAGTGCTGCTGCTTTCCTGAAATCGAGAGCATAACTTAATAGATACATAAAATACTTGGTAAAGGTCACACATATTTCGACTAGAGATAAATAACTTGAAATTTAAACTAATAAAATCTGAATTCTATTTAAAGCAGCAGCACTTTCCATAAACTACAAGATATGTGGAAACAATTTATTGCTTATTTTTTTAATTTGAACTAGGGCATGCCCATGCGATATTAAAAGTTGTTCATGACCTACATACAGTACATATCACATATATTGATCACGTGACTGTGAAATAAGGTGACCAAACCAAATTCAGTATAGAGCGGGATATATATATTTTTTTCAATTAATAGTACTAGTAAGTCATGTGATAATAAAGTAGCTTTACAAAAATAAATTTTGTTTAAAAAGGTATGTATTTATGCACGTTCATATTCCGCGGATTTCTTCGTAGTATGCCTTAACATTGCTGCGGAACCTAATGAAATCTTTCAAATGAATTCATTATTTCTATATTTAATGACGTTGACAACCAAAATATTCAACACGCGGTCTAACAAATGTAATTTTAGCAATAAAATATTAGATCTATATAGGTTTGCAGCACGGAAGGTTTTGAAAACATTTATAAATTAGTGGAACTTCAGTTTTTAACTTGGTTATGCCCTTGCAATATTAGAATTTAAAGATGACCAATACTTCAAGTATTTTTGCTAAAATCACGGAAATGCCACATCAAGTGACAAGTCTAAATGGAAAATCTAATCATCCGCAGCATGTTTTTAACCTTATTACTTTTATCCGGTACTAGTAAAATACTAAAAAGTACCCCTATCCTTGTAACGAATGTAATTTTTATCTTTAAAATATTTCCATTGCGCACATTTACTACGCTGCTGTTATCTCATGCATAGTTCTGATCTTCCGACGTATTTGGCTCATACATTATACATACCTCTGATACTTGGACACATTTGGCTCCAGTCTTTGGCACCCTTTTTTCGGCTCTTCAAAGTTTTTTAATTCAAATATTTCGGATTTCCAACGTTTTGGCATGAGTATCACTGAAGAGATAATTTGTCGAAATGCGCATCTGGTGCATCAAAATTGGTACTGTATAAGATTTACATAATCACCCTGGGGTTGAGGCCTCTGCTGGTGGACTGTTGGTCCCCGAAGGTCTCTACAATCCAGTAGCTCAGTACTTCGGTACTAGGTTAAAATTACGGATATATGTTTAATTGCTGTGGTAAAATTTAGAAATTTATTTCAAAATTAATGATTATCTCCCTCATGCATAACTCTGATCCTTCGACGTATTTGGCCCCAGTCTTTGGCACCTCTTTTTTTCAGCTCTTCAAAGTTTTTTTTATTTTTATTTAAATATTTCGGATTTTTAATGTTTCGGCATGTGCATCATTGAAGAGACATAAAATGTAATTTGTCGAAAAGCGCATCTGTTGCATCAAAATTGGTACCGTATAAGATTTACATTCGGAGCGTTATTTACTTTAGTTAATGTTAATCATATAACTCTTAACCTTTTTCTGCAACATATCTAAGAAAAATCATTAGAACTTTTACGAAAGTATTTCTACATAAATGTATTAATTTTGTGATTGATATGCCAAAATATTCACAATGTAAATAAACGGCTAGAATAGTTCTATTTTAATTATGATCTACATCTACAGAACAAAATACCAAAGATGGATACAAGCAATAATTTTAAAAAATAAAAACAAATAATAATGAGTTGTATGTCAATCTAAAATCATTCATCGAAAAAATTAACCTCTCATAGCCATATGTACAATTATGAAAAAGGGTTTAATATAAAAATAATCAAATAACCTTTAAGTATAATATATTAATCTTCGTATATTTCTAATACCTTATAATATACTAAGTTATCTTAATATATATCTTAAAATCTTAACCTTTAGAAGTGTTTAGAAACTGTTTGCAACGGCATATTTTGACAAATATCACTTAATAAAATTTAATTTTGCTTACACATGTAAATGTTATATTGCATAGAATCTTTTGCTATTAATGAGCTTGGGAAGTGTACATAAAAATAACTGTTTATTAGTACCTGTTACAGAAGAATCCAAGGAAAGAATTCAACTGTTTTATGTTTTTACTTATATATAGACAATACACTAGTTTTAAATTTAAAAAAATAACAAGTTCAAACAAAATTGTTTCAGACTTTCTATTTCAGACTTCTTATTTTTCAGACTTTATTTTTCTAGTACAGACACGGGTGGTTCACCGAGTGGTGCTTCTACTGCTAATGAAACCACCTTCCAAAACATTGATTCTTTGGTACCACCTTCGTGCCAAGTTACAACGGATCTTTTTTTAAGAGTTCTGTGAACAGACGAAATCATGTTCTTGCTATTGATGCTTTTGTATAACAAAAACACGACAGTAGAATCTCCACGTTGTCTTATTCTTTCTTCCACAAGATTGTTTTGCCAAAGGCACCACTCATTCTTCACAAATTCATTTGATAACACCACTACTATTTTCCTACTATCTTTGAAAGCATTTTCTATTTCACTGCATCTCTCGACACCAACTTCAAATTCTCGATCAGGAATACACAATCTTATCCCTTTTGCTTCCAGTCGTCGGACAAGCTTTCGCAAAACCCACTTCTCATCTGCTTCACAATATACAACATATGCATCATATTTAAATTCTTGTTCATTTAAAAGTTTCACATATCCCCTTTTTCTCAATCGGCAATAATAAATAACATTTTTGATAGTTGGCAAATGCACAGAAATCAGAATAGAAACAATTAAAAGAAAAAATGCTGATGTGGAAGTTGCTATAAGGATAATAATCCATGGGTTTTTCTCTTTACAATCATCCTCGGTAAGATTGAGATTCAGGATAGTCTTCTGATACAAATTCTTAGGTGTCTGACAAGTATACCTGTATGGAAAACTGAGAAGCGTCACATTTGTCTTTTGACACCAATTCTTAAACCAGATCATATCACATCCGCAATCAAAAGGGTTGATAGCAAGCGTTAGAGTGTGGAGATTGTCCATTAGTTCTAATGGTATAGATGTTTTGTTTAAAATAGCAATCTTATTCTGATCTAGACGTAATTCAACTAGATTTGAAAGGTTTTTAAATACGGTAGGTTTCCAACTACTAAGTTTATTTCTCGTCAAAGAAAGAATCTTTAATTTCTTTAACGATTTAAATGTGTCCACGTGGATTGAGTTCATTCTATTTTCTTGTAGGGACAATTTCTCTAATCTTTGCAAAGGTTTGAGCAACAAATGACCAAGAGATCCAGTAGGAAAATGATTCCCACTAAGATCTAAACTAGTGACATTTGTGCACAAGGCAAACATATTTTCGGAAGCATTTGTAAATTTGAAGTCATTGCTAACGAACTTCAGGGTGAGAAGACTAGATATATTAAATGCATAAGTAGAAATCTTTTTCAGACACTTAACATTTCTAATTTTTAACCATGTGAGAGACCTTAGTGAACTAAAAATATTATCATTGAGTTCTTCTAATTTCGTATGACTCAAATCTAGTTTTCTCAACGAGGGAAGGCAAGTAAAATCGTTTTTGAAAATGTTTTTAATGTCTGTATTTGACAGAATTAGTTCTTGTAAATTTGGATTGGTGCTCTTATTTACTTCGTTGCAAAATAATGGAATTTCTTCAAAGCTGTTTTCCCTGAGGTCTAATTTTTTCAACATTGGCAAGCACTGGAAACGATAACCTTTTAAAATTATTATTTTAGTACGATTCAGAGAAAGTGATGTTAGATTGGGAGTTAAACTATGCTGTTTTACTCCACAAAATGTGGGAATATCTCTCAAAGGATTATCACTCAAGTCTATAATTCGAAGAGAGAACAGACACATCAGAGATTCCTTTTGTAATGTTGATATAGATGTGGACTTAAGATACAACTCTTCTAGTTCAGGAACACTGCTTTTTCCAGATGAATTGCAGAAATGTGGAACATGAGTAATTTTATTATTTCTGCTCAGATTCAACACCTTAAGCTTGGGTAAACACTTCAAACGTTCAACTGAAATTTCGTTGTCTATACTGGTATTTTCTAGCAACAATATTTCCAATTTATTACCACTATTCTCGGGACTTAAACAAAATCCAGGAAAGTCACCCAGTTCTGTATCTCCTACGTCCAACTTTTGAAGCTCTGGGAAGCAATGAAATATAGATGGCATGATTACTCTCAATTTTGTTGATTGTAGCGTTAGACACTTCAAAGAAGGGAAAAAGTTCATTTGCCCTTTGCAAAAAGCTTTCATGTCTTTGAAACTAGACCGCGATAAATCTAATGCAGTCAAATTAAGATCCTTAAGAACATTTGCTGATAATTTCACCAGTTGGTTACCTGCTAGTACTACCGTACTTAAGTTAGTACGTGACACATATCTGAATAAATCTGGTACAATGATTTTCCAACTGTTTGAAGTTAGATTCAGAATCTGTAAAGATTTCGAAATGTTTATGAGTGAATCTCTCAAGATTCCAGATGTGAGTTTCGTATTAAAAGATATTTCCACTTCTTCCAATTTTTTGAGATTTTGAAAGATTCCACTTTGCATGAAATGAATATCTAAATTTTCAAGGATTATTTTTCTTAAAGGTAAAGTCGTAAAATTTTGCAGATCATTTGCAGAAATGTTCTGACGAATGAAATAGTGGACTTTAACTTCTCTTATATAATTGGGAAGTCTTGGAAAATACGTCAGCGTTTGATTCTTCTGTTTGACATGGCCACAAACCGCTGTGAGTTTTATGTCGTCACACAAACACATCTCGTGAGCACAGAATGTTACAGCTGAGGATGCAGTTTCGAACAGGGAATGCAAAAGAAAATAACACAGAAAAAAGTCAAGTGGTCTCATTTTTGATTCATGTGCCTGAAATACAAAAAAAATTCTGACATTTTTCTAAAAGTTAGAGTATCTTGTATTTATATATCAGTAAGTAATTTTTTATGATAGAAACCATCATGCATTATATTAAAATTTATAAATCTGGATTTTTTTTTCGATAAAATTGTAGTGCACGTTTTATATAATACTTTGCACTACAATATATCTTTGACTCAAATTCTTACCTCTGCTAATTTTCATAGTAAAATTGACAAACATTAATGATTTGTCCTGTGAAGATCTCCACTCTTATATAGGTGTTGTTAGAAAAAACATTTTATGTTTTGAATTCAAACGAAAGACAAATACTAATTTAACTTATTTGATGGAAATATTTTTTGCAAAGTGACCGTACATGTTTTTTGCAGATATAGCTATTAGGTCATTATCTTTAACAAAATAAATGCCTATATGGCATAAGTCCATAATATACATACCATTTAGATCACCTTAAGGAGATCCTTGATAAAAGTATTAAATTTCCGCATATCTAATGCATGTTCATCCTTAACACTCTCGTATTCAAGAACACCCTTGTAAGATAATTGCTTGTTCTAATTTGCAAAGGACCTATAAATGCATTAAAGTTATCCTTTAAGAGACCTTTACACACAATCTAATATACATAAAGACTTAAAAGAATACTTCCCTATTCCCATACAGAAATACAAAACTATAATCGTTTCAATTTAGAGTTAAGTGTTTACATAAAACTATTTCCCCGTTTGTAGTCTTGTGGTCACAAAAGGACACAATCGTTTCTTAATAATTATTTATCAGTTCCTGCAAGATTATAATTATTTTCAGACAAGTACTTGTAGATTATGTTTTCTGTCGCTTATTACAAAGCACATAATAATTCTGTACCAATCAATTTAAAATCGTCAATAGAAATAGAAGATCGTTGTTTTCTATGCCATAATTTGTCAGTGTCATTTGGTGTTCATAGTTACAAGCAGAGCAAATAATTGGATATTATAACAATTAAGGAAAGTAATTAATTAATGATTATGGTTGGTGTAACACTTAAAAACCAATATTCAATTTTCTGTCATTTTGATATTCTACTCTAAAATTCTAAATTCGAATTTTAACTTATTCCGTATTTTGAAACAAAGTAACATGATTTTATTCGAAAAAGTACTGCAATAACAGTTCGGGGCCGTGGGTTTTTATAAACAAATTAATAAGGCCATCTTTAAAAAAATGTTTGGTTGCCCTCTTCCGACGCAGGATAAAACAAAATGGGTAGGTAGGTAGTGTGATTTTTTTTTAATTCAAAAAAACCCCTTGCATATAAAAAGTTTAATAGTTATTAGTGGGATAAAAAATAATTCGGAAAATTTTTAAAAAGAAAAAAAAAGAAAATTGTTCTGAAGGTTAAAAATAGTTTTTTAGTCAAGTCGTTTTAGTCAGTTGGTCGGGAGGGGGTAAGCAAATATTTTTTTAAAGAGAGTCTAATCATCTACTTTTGTATGACGTCATGCAATTTAGGTTAAATCTTCAAAAATCTTTGATGATTAAAAAATAAATAAATAAATTTCTATAATTTTACAAATGAAGAATATTGAACTAAGAGTTCAAATTTTAAAATGTGAAACAGGTTTCCTTTTCCTAAGAAATCTGAACTGTGGATTGATACATGGAGCAATTATAGAAAATCATCAATAACAGAAGTCGTCCGCTAAATATTATAGTCTGAGAAAAGTGCAAGTCAGTCTGCATCATTTATAATCTCTTGTTTTCTAACCTCAGCTTCCACCAATTTACATTAAAAGAAATATGACTCATATTTGATCGAATGCATGGACTCATTGATGTGAAGTTATGCTTTATTCGCAGACCTCTCGGAAGAGGGTAAAAAACTACAAACAAATAACACACATTTAGACACAATCAATGCATAAGTTTCACAATAAATTGTACTGACAATAAGACTTGTTATTACCTGAAGTTATCAATTATTAACATGCTTTATGAAGAGAAAATGACACAATACAGTGTACCGATATGATATGAATATATATAAAATGACCTAAATTGTCCGCCATATTAAGTGAACCAGTTACAAAAAATAGCAGATAAAAATGTAGAATTATGCAAAACATACATAATGTTCACCAATGACATTTGGCGTATACGATATTTAAACGTTTATAAATCAATTTATGATTACAAATTAAATAAAGCAACAAAACTTACACCATGAGAGGACAAGACAAGCAAAATATCTGTAAACACATGTATTGTTGACTTGGGCGGAAACAAACACTTAAAAATAAAATCAAAACCGGGGACGGATAATTCCGGACACTACACTCCCCCTCTGATTTCTACTAGAAATCACTATTTTTAAAACAAATTCAACTGAAAAATACAATGTACTCATATCTAGTTTACATTACAATCTTAAACATACAAACACTTAACCTTAAGTGCATGATCAAAACCAATGATGTTCACTACACCTCCAAAAGGGTGACAAGTTCTGATATAGGTCTCACATAAGTAGAGCGTGTACCATCCTTCACAACACATATCTCAACTTTTCGGATGCGGCCATCATCACTTGGAAATGTCTTTTGTACAATGCCCATAGGCCAGTCATTTCGCGCACTTCCGCTGTCTTTCATCAAGATGACATCACCAGTCTTCAAGTTTGAACGTGCTTCTTTCCACTTATGACGCACTTGAAGGGTATGTATATATTCTGTTCTCCACCTCTTCCAAAATTCATCTGCTAATAACTGCACTTGCTTCCAATGCGCACGTATATCCTTTGGTCCAAACTCTGGGAAGGGGTGAATATTGCATGTGGTCTTCATTGTTAGCAAGGTAGAGGGTGTGAGCAAACATGGAGACTCTGGATCTGTTGACACGGGTAATAAAGGTCTATTGTTTACAATAGCTGTAACTTCTGCCATGAAAGTTACCAAGACATCGTGGGTTAGTTCGACTCGATTCTGTAGTAACATAGAGTCAAGTATTCTGCGGGACACTCCTATCAAACGTTCCCATGCTCCCCCCATGTGAGAGGCATGGGGTGGGTTAAATACCCAAGAAGTTCTTGAATTAGAGAGAAACGTCCCAACTGGTCCTTTTTCCACAAACTCAGCATTGATGGACAGGTCCTGTGTTGCCCCAATGAAATTGGTTCCCCGGTCTGACCTAAACTGTATCACTGGACCTCTAATGGCAACGAATCGCCTCAATGCATTAATAAATGCTGCGCTTGATAACTCTTCGATGACTTCGATATGTACCGCTCGGGTCACCATACAAGTAAATAACAAGGCCCAACGTTTTTGATTGGCTGAACTTCCCCTGGTCCTCCTGTGAACAATTGCCCAGGGTCCAAATGTATCCACACCAACGTATGAGAATGGAGGACTAGGTGTCACTCTGTCTTCTGGTAAGCATGCCATCTGTTGCCATCCAAGTTTTCCTCTAAGCTTGCGGCATATAACACACTTGTTGATTTCAGATGAAATCATGCGCTTGGATCCCACTATCCAAAATCCAGCAGCTCGCACCGCTCCATCAGTGAAGTGTCGACCCTGATGTGAAACTTTGCAATGAAAATGGTGAATAAGAAGCTTGGCCAGGTGGTGGTTTTTAGGGATGATTATCGGATGTTTGGATAAGTCGTCAACAATGCTTTTGCCCTTTAACCTCCCGCCAACACGTAAGAGACCATCTGGACCTAGCACTGGAGACAAGGATAAGATTGAGCTTCTGTTCAGTGATCTTCCTTCTCTAATGACTTGAATCTCTGGGCCAAAGGCTTCCTTCTGAACTGTCTGAATAATGAAGTGTTCTGTTTCTGAGATGATATCTGTGTCGTAAAGTTTCCCACCTGTATTGGAAGTCTTGACACCCTTGTACTTCCTGATGAAGGTCTTTAAATAAGCTATTGCTCGCACAAGTTTTCTCCAGTCTGAAAACCTTGTAAAATTGGAAACTCCAAGCATGGACTTCCTGTCTTGCAACTCCTCTGTTTTGAAGCACCTTACTTCTGGTTGCAACTCTTTATCTATCTCTGGGTTGATGAGAGGGTAATGGTCTAGAGCAGATGTGGAATGAGATTCTGCTGAAAGGTCTGGTCCTTTGATCCACATGCTGTCTGCTAATTGAGATGCTTTCACACTTCTTGTAGCAACATCTGCTGGGTTGAGTTCAGATGCTATGTAATTCCACTGCGAGGGCTGACTTGACATTCTGATGCGACTCACTCGATTCCCTACATAAATGTAGAACCTTCTATTCTCATTTGTTATGTACCCAAGTACCACTTGACTGTCGGAATAGAAAGAAAAATGTTCTCTGTCTATCTTCAACTGTTCATGGATGACATCTGCCAACTGAACTGCCAAAACCGCAGCACATAATTCGAGTCTAGGCACTGTATGCCCACTAAATGGCGCAACCTTTGCTTTTCCCAAGAGAAAACTTGTTGTGCAGGAATCTGGACACATGCCATGCAACTTCAAGAATGCCACGGCTGCGATGGCTTCTTTAGATGCATCTGCAAAGATATGCACCTCTCTCTTCTGGGCGCCCTCAAATGACTGGGAACTGTACTGTCTGGGAATCTGGAACTCTTCTAACTCTGGCAACGATCGTACCCAGGATTTCCATTCCTTGTAGAGAGAGTCAGGTAAGGGATCATCCCAGTCCAATTTTGATGAAGAGGAGACCATGTTTCTCAGCAGTATTTTGCCCCTGATTATAACTGGTTGAGCAAAACCTATCGGATCGTAGATACTATTGATGATGGATAATGCTCCACGCTTGGTAAAAGGTTTCTGCTCATCTGACACCTTAAACAAGAAGACGTCTGAGTCTGTATCCCATAAAAGTCCTAAACTTCTCTGTAGTGGTAGTGACGCTGCACCGAGGTCAAGGTCTTTCAGGTTCTTGGCGAGGTCACTTGATGGAAATGAATCGAGAAGTGTTCTGCTATTCGATGCGAATTTGTGAAGTCTTAACTTCCCTCCTTCATTAAGCGCCCCCTTTGTCCTATGTACAAGGCTTATGGCTTCTTCCTCACTGAAACATGACAATAGACCATCGTCAACATAAAAATTATTGTTTATGAGATCTTTGACGTCTTCACTGGATGATTCTACTGATTTTCTCAGACCATAAGTGGCGACGGAGGGTGAGGGGCTATTCCCAAAGACGTGCACTGTCATACGGAAGGTGGTAAGTGGGCGGTTGAAATCATTATCCTCGTGCCACAAAAATCTCAAAAAGTCTCTGTGTTCAGGGCTCACTTTGAAGTTATAGAACATTTGTTCCACATCCATTGTTACTGCTACTGCTTCCTTTCTGAAGCGCATCAAGATTCCTAGCAAGCTATTGCTAAGGTCGGGTCCTTTGAGCAGCACATCATTTAGAGATACATCACAGAATTTGGCAGATGAATCAAAAACCATTCTTATGCTGTCTGGCTTTTTGGTATGGTATACTCCAAAGAGCGGAAGATACCAGCATTCGTTTCCTTCATCCAAATCTGGGGCCTTTTCTGCATGGTTATTATCAAATAACTTCTGCATAAAGTCAATCACATGCTCGCGTTTTTGTCCATTGTGCTTCAAACTTGCATCAAAGGATCTGGCACGCCGTTCAGCTGCTTCCTTGTTGTTTGGCAAGGTTCTCCTGGTAGATCGAAAAGGGAGTGGAGCCATCCAATGACCTTGATCTGTCTTCTGTATTCCAGAACCTATAATATTGAGAAAGTCTTTATCCTCAACTGATAATCCTGGCTTCTCATCCTGATCCGTTCTTCTAAAAATTGAGTCAAAGTCAATCTTAATCTCACTATCACACGGAATCATCATGGTGGGACGTCCATTACTTAGAATGGTGGTTTTGTTGACGTTGACAATGTCTGGGCTATGTACCGTTCCGAGGCAGACATTTCCGATGATAACCCATCCAAGTGGCAGTTGTTGTCCATAAGGTAAGTTATCCTTCCCGATTCTGTGGTCTAACACATGATGTGCCATAATGAGGTCACGACCGATCAGTAACTCAATGTCTATACATTTGTCTAAAGGTGGTATGAGATGTGCAATGTCGTTCAGGTGGGGAAAAGATTGTGCCACTCCAGGTGATGGGATTTCTTCTCTATTGTTCGGGATATCATTGCACTCTATCAAATCAGGCAGCTGCAAAGTACATGTTCCATCAATAGATTCCACCATGTATCCCGAGGCTCTGCGTCCAGCTGTATTGAATTTACCAGCACAAGATGATAGGACATATTCTATTTCACTTCCACATTCTCCAAAGGCATTGAAGAACTGTGAGACTGCAAGGGATCGATTACTTTGTTCGTCTATCATACAATAGAGTTCTCTAGACAAGTTCTTTCTTCCTTGGGGGTACACTCTCACTAAAATTATCTTGGCACATGATTTTGATGTATTTCCTCGAGTGTTACATATTTTTGTACACTTGTTCGTTACACTCACTTCTTGAATGAATTTCTCCCCCTCGTGATCTTTCACAGAAGACCTTCGTAAGTCTGGATGAAGTGCTGATGGGTGCTTGGAAGAGTTACAAACATCACACTTTACAGTCATTTTACAGTTTGATTGGAAATGTTTCTTTGGTCCGCAGCACTTGAAACAGAAGCCATTTTCTCTGATGAAATCTTTCCTTTCTTGTAGTGGCCTTATGCGAAATTGCCTACACGCATTGAGTGTATGGTTGGTTCCATGCACTGGACAGCTTTCTGTGGTCACATCTGTTTTCCTTGAGGACACTTGCGTCTTGATATAACTTGTTCTTCTGACATGTTTACATCCATCACTCTGCTGCGCACTTTCAGTAGTTTCATATATGAAACTAGGGTCATTGCGTATCTTTGCGATATTATTAACAAATGCGGAAAAGACAGAAAATGGCGGATAGATCACACTATTTTTCTGTTTATACTTGTTAGCTTCATTTGTCCACTTCTCCTGAATGCTTGGAGGTAATTTTCTGACAATCGGGTTTATGCCACCTGAGGAGTCATAATATGAGAAGAGTTTTGCATACTTTTCATTCTGCATGATTGACTCAATCTCCATCAGAATGTCTGCGAGTTCAAAAAGCTCACTTCTGTTTGAGTTCTTTAAGGTAGGAAAAGCTGCGACTCTGTTCTTCAGTGATGATTCAATGCTCTCTGGACTCCCAAATTTTGAATCCAATCTTTCCCATATCAGACGCAATGCTCTGGAGGGGTCATGGGGATTTGCTGAACGGATGTTGAGAGCCTGCTGCTTAGACTTCATTCCAAGGTTCTGGATCAAGAGGTCAAGTTTTTCCATAACAGAAGCACCCAGTTCATTTGTCACATTTTCAAATGTTGATTTCCAGACGAGGTAATGTCCTGGGACATCATCAAATGCAGTTAGTCTTGTTGGTATAAGTTGCTTTTTGGCCAACAACTTAGCAAGTTCATTTGTTTCACTTATAACATTTTTCTCCGGTTGAACGACAACAAACTCTGGAGCAGTTGGGTTCAGAGGTTTCTGCGGTTTTTCTTCTGGTGTCTGTGAAATACATTGAACTTGATCTGAGCACTCACTGTTGTAGTTGTTTACAGGTTCTCTTGGTCTTTCTGAAGATTCACTAAGATTAGTGTGTTCACTTGTGTTAGTGTTAGGAAGTTCTCTTGGTTTTTCTGTATATTCACAATGATCCTGATATTTGGACGGTTCAACTGTGTAAGTATTGTCTGTTTGATATGGATCATCTTCACCTAGGTCATTTTCACAGGGTGGTATGTAGCTTTCTCCAAGAGAGTCGTATTCAAGACATTTCTTTATTGCCGTCAAACTTGACTGGGCTGCCTCAAACTCTTTCTTGACCGTGAGTAGACGCTGGGCTGCCTTAATCTCTGCTTCTTTTCTCATCAAATCCGCTTCTTCTTTAGCGTATTTCAGTTTCATTCGTGCTTCCTCAACCTTCGCTGTATGTTGTAGCACTACAGATGTGAGACGTGAGGATGAGGACCCTTGACTGTATGCTGACTTCTGCGATCTTGTGTTAGGTAGTATGGAGTTTAACTGTTTCAACACTGATGTCACTTTTTCTTGTAATGCAGTTGCGATGAGGGACCTGGAGGCTTCCTCTCTCGTACTGGCTTCGTGGCGTTGACTTCGTAAATATGCTACATATTCCGCAGAGGCCTTTTCATATTGCAACATGTATTTATTCAATGAAGTTTTGCAAGTCTTTGCACGCTCGAGATTCATGACTGGGTTTTCTTCCATATCCATGAGGATGGAATCAATGTCTCTCTTGATGTTTCCTAACTTGAATACGTGCCTGTTAACTTTTTCCTCGAACTGTTCCATGGCAGCTAAGGTAATGTTGCGGGATTTCCTTAATGCCAGAGCATCTACCATGATGGTGAGTCTGTGTCCAAGCAATGGTTTTTTTACTGTGAAGTTATGCTTTATTCGCAGACCTCTCGGAAGAGGGTAAAAAACTACAAACAAATAACACACATTTAGACACAATCAATGCATAAGTTTCACAATAAATTGTACTGACAATAAGACTTGTTATTACCTGAAGTTATCAATTATTAACATGCTTTATGAAGAGAAAATGACACAATACAGTGTACCGATATGATATGAATATATATAAAATGACCTAAATTGTCCGCCATATTAAGTGAACCAGTTACAAAAAATAGCAGATAAAAATGTAGAATTATGCAAAACATACATAATGTTCACCAATGACATTTGGCGTATACGATATTTAAACGTTTATAAATCAATTTATGATTACAAATTAAATAAAGCAACAAAACTTACACCATGAGAGGACAAGACAAGCAAAATATCTGTAAACACATGTATTGTTGACTTGGGCGGAAACAAACACTTAAAAATAAAATCAAAACCGGGGACGGATAATTCCGGACACTACAATTGATAAGCATAAATTAAAGAAACCAATACGTACAGATGGAATATATAGAATAATTTAACACACTTGTTGATTTGATTATTTTATTAACAGTAATTCAGCAGACTAGTATGGACATTCATTTTCTTCATTACCCCTTCACAGTCCGTATAGTTGTATAGCTGTAACAAAAAATAAGTACGAGTTATTCATGTAAATTTAGTTTTTCATATAGGAATTCTAACTCAAATGTACATGTATAAGCAATGAACTAAATTCAGTAAAGCCCACAAAAAACATAAAGTTTAACATGTGTTTTAGATAAAGTTTTCAGTCCGTGTTTATAAAATTTAAGCTATGTTTTATATTACTTGTTCATTCCGTGTTTATAAAGTTTTACCTCCTTTTAGCGGCACCACTCCAAACACTCCTCCGTGTTCCTGCGACAGCAGTACCAGTCGCCATGATCTTGTAATTGCAGCTCTTCTCCGATTGGTGTTCCCAATATGCTGACAACAGCCAATAGAACGAGGAGAATAAGGATCTTTTGCAACTCCATCTGGAAAAGAAAAACGCTTGGATCGGTATTGCTAACTAGAATTACTTCTCTACGACAGCAAAACCGATCTGTACTTTTCTTCCATTTCAAGGTTAAACTTCAGGAGTGTACAAGTATATCACTTTGAATTTGTTTCGCTGCACTGCAGGAGTTAGGATTTTAAATTGCAATCACAACGGTATATTTGGAACAAGGCATTTTATCGACAATATTTTTACTGAATATTTCTTAAAGCTAAAATAATGGAACTGTTTTTTTCTGACATGGTATTTTGTAGAGTAAAAAAAAATCTGCAGTATGACTAATTATATAGTTAGTTGGATTATCCCAACAAAAATAGTACTTTACTGTAGATCACTAAAATTTCGCGACACCTTTTTTCGCGAGATATTTTATGTCTCTTTATTAGCGAGACAAAATTTTCACGAATTGTGGTTATTGCTCTTTATAATCATAAGGATTACTATTATACGCGAGGATAAAAATTTTGCAAGCACACTGTCTCGCGAAATTATGCGAAAATAAAGATGATTTACAGTACATGTAGTTAATAATAGTTTACTAACAATAGTTAACTATTTTATCAAAGTTTTTACTATAGTAAATCAAAGAATATGTACTTTTACTATAAATGTCAATTTTGTTATATTTCATTTTCTCCACCTCTTACATGCAATTTTCTGATATAAGTAAGAAATATTTCTTGCATATTCATTTAACATATTATTTCGAAACATTACATCATTGTAATAAGAGAGGGATCATGGTGTTAAATCTCAAATAAAAAAAAAAAAAATTAAGTTTCATGGTCAATAAAAGATTTAACAATATAGCTAACTATAGTTAACTATATTTAACTTTTGTTTAGGCACTTCTTTCCCTGGTTAATGCACTTAAAAGTACGTACTAGAATTTTTTTCAAAAATATTCACTGTATATATGAAACCATACAGTAGGCGTTAAAAACAAGCAGGTGTTCATAATCGGCATCAAATATAATTAACCTTCAAAAGCATTTTATTGTAAACAAAGTGAATAGATGACTCAGATTAAAGTATAAATTTAGGTACATTGACCCTCTGATAAGAGAGATAACTCTGATTAAGGTATTAATTCAAGGTATATTGATCCTCTGACACGAGAGATAAATCCGATTAAGGATATCCGATCCTCAGCCAGGAAGGATAACTCTTAAATTTATTATTTGGTTTAAAAAGTAAAAATGAAGCTTGAAATTGATATCTTTTTGTGCAACAGTTTTCATTTTATGTATCTTAATATGATTCAAAGTTCTTTGAAGTCTTAGAAACGGTTTTGTAAAAAGTTGACATTTGTACCGCATAAAACAAAAAAAAAAAATGAATTCATTTTCAGAGATATTGATTTCCTGTAGTCTAGCATTAGATACCTCAGCTTATTAGCATGATATGAAATTAGATGTGATATGTGATGCCTAGCTTTTAGTAGCAATGATAGCACAAGCTTTTTACACTGTGTATTATATGACAATTGAAGTAAAAAGAAGAACTAAAATACTGTATAAGCTTTAAAAAGATGTAATTTTCTCCAATAGATACCTAAATCTTTCTATCCTAAATTATATTTTTTGATCTATTTTCAATTAGAAAATGCATAGCTGGTGTTTTTATTCGCATTTCCTGAAAATATATTTGAGATTTGATAACTTTCCCTGTATAATATGATTATCTATAATGATGAACTTTGAAGAAATTCCATGGGTAAATTCACGTTACTATGTGAAATCAGAGTCACTTTTGTAAACATTTTCAATTACTTAAAAGCTGATTTTCAGAACCTGAGGATCGGAGTACCTTAATGTATAAATTAAGGTACATTGGCCCTCTAATAAGAGAGATAACTCTAACTGGGATCTATGACTTTTATTCCCTTAAAATTTTTGAAGCTAAAGAGGTGATTTCTTCAAATTTTGTATTGCAAGGAATGCTGAATTCGTTTGCATTTCAATTATACTAAGCATATATACTTTAGATTTCTTTTTGGAAAATTATTAACATTAAATCAGCATTTTATGTCCGTGATCAAATGATGATGAACATAATTTAAGAAGCTAGACTGTACAAAATTATAGATCATATTGAAATTAGCTGAATAAATACAAAATTAAAAATTTGCACATACCATAATTTCTATCCTTCTTGTTGTTTGCGCTGATAATCAAAATCTTCTCTTTATATACTTTCTAAAAGTCATTATTTTCTATGACACAAATCAAATAAACTGCGCAACAAAATTGTTTGAGTAAACAATCTACTTTAGTCAATCCTTAACCATAGTTATTATGGTTAAACATGTCAAACAGTATATGAGACTGCAAGTCAAACGGCCTACTATTATGCTATATTCTGTACAATCATTGTTTACATCACAGTGAACTGTTTAAGAATCCCCAGCCAATTAAGGTGCTTTTCATTTTTTTCTTTTCAAGAGCCTTCCAAGAGTAGTTCACTTGATTTGATGTGGTGACGTAAACGCTATCTTTATAGCTATAAGTATGGCATGTCACACGATAAAATATTTGATCTTTCCCATTAACGTATATTTTAACTGTCCGGTACAATTTGTATTACAAGTAAATATTCTTTGTTAGTACTTTTAGTATTTGATTCTATAATTCTATAATTTCATTTATGCTCTACTTGTTATGCATAATTTTTAATAGTGCTGTACAATTTCAATAATTTTAAACTTGTAGTATAAATCCTCTTCCTGTATAATTTTCATCCCAACGAATTAACAAACAAGATTTAAATGACTCCCCAATACTTATAGAACACTTGTGAAGACACATTTTTGCATTTCTTAGATCTGTTCTGGAATATTTAGGTATCGTGTTTGGTTTATTATGTGTATCAGCGAGCAAACAAGACGGGGCATTCAGTTGGTTAGCAAAAGATCATATAGTGTTTTCCCTTTAAACATTTAAAAAAATCAGTATTGGGTTCGTATTTCACATAATGCAGGAGTGTATACATAGGTATGATAAGCACATCCATATGAAATTGTATATTGATTGTTTTATTTTATTGACAGACTGGTAATTAAGCATATGCATAATCACCGTGCATATGGGGGTACGGAATAGTGACCTTTAGGGGTGCGGATTTCGAAGCGTAATTTGCTACGAAAATTGACCTAATTAGCTTTTCTACAGCGATTGAGATGGAATTAGTTCTATGTTAATGTACCACGGAACACAGTGATTTCTCCGCGTATTGATACCAGTATCCCTCTTCACAATTCGAGCTAGAAGTACATGAACACTTCAACATTTTCTGGCTATGACACGCAGGGTTGCAGATTTGATCGGTTCTTGGTGAAAATTCTTGCTTAATTTATCATTCTACATCATTTGAGTTGTATGAGGGGTTTCTTTGCATAATTTTACAGAAGATATTCTAATAATATCTGGACTTTCACCCCAAATAAAAGGTGGAAACTTCAATATTAGTGTGTGCCACCCGGGGGTAAACTTATAGAGGAGCTGGGGGAAAGGAATCATTTTTCATTGAAGGTAAATAAATTCGACCTTGTCTGTAGGTGTCTGCATATATATGTATGTATATAATTATGTATATGTACATATATATGTATGTATGTTTGAATGTATATGTTTAAGAAATAAATTCAAATGAGACTGATACTAGTTACTCACACAAGTCAAGATGAAACACTTGTTAATCCTTTGGGGGTTTTTTTTGGGGTGCTAGTGAATTTGACTACGAAAAGTTCTGCCTACCTGATCAATACATACGGCTAACGGCGGGTGTGACCGGTCAACGGGGGATGCTTAGTCCTCCTAGGCACCTGATCCCACCTCTGGAATTTCCAGGGGTCCGTGTTTTATGCCCTCTTCACATATTTGTATTGTTTATAGATTTTTTGAGATCTATATTGTTCGTTTTCTTCACCTTTTACATTCCTTTAAGCCTTGATTAAAGACGACTTATAGGTGCTTAATGATGGCTCAAAGGTCGTCTTTTAAATCAAACTCCTTATTTGTTCATGAAACATACATAATTCTTAACGTAAGAATAGAATTCAGATTTAAGTTGATGTGGGGAAAAGGGTACAATGATTCTCTCTTTTGAAGCTCCAGCTGGGTAAATATTTTTCTAATTATATCCACTAAATATTATCTCCATTATTGTGTCGCCTGCAGAGACTAAGGGATCACTTTACCCGGCGTCTGTTTGTCTACCTGTCCGTCTGTCACACCCTATATCTCAAGAACTGTAAGAGGTATGAATTTGATATTTTGCACATATATTGCTTGGCACTATGGCTTTTGTAAATTATCATGGTTACTTACCTCATGTCCTTTGACCTTTGACCTACTTTTCAAAATAGCTCATAGGGCCGATTTACAGCATATTTTTGACATTTAAGAGGTAAGTCTATGCTATTTAGCATGTGCACTGTTTGTCATTAGAAAATATGAAAAATACCAGCATTACAATCCACTTGACCTTGACCTTTGACCTACTTTGCAAAAAAAATATCTCGGGCAGTTTAATTAAACTTATGAATTTTGAATTTTGAGAGGCAGGGTTTAGATATTCAGCATTTATATATGTTTATGAGCTCATGATAGTGTATTTTGAAACCGTATGATATTCAGTTATCAGACAAACTTGTGTTTTTAAATACTACGAAAATACATCGGGATCGGTATTCCACAATGGATCGTGTAGAGAATTTCAGTAAAAACTAAAATCTCTTTTGAATGATTATTAAAAACACGTTTAGCTCATGCAAAAGTACTTTGAAAGTGTACGTTGTTACCGTCTTCCTTGGAAGACGGTATACAGAGTTGAAGTATTTTACAGTCTTCGGACTTTGCACTTCCTCTCTTTTGTGATTGATAGAAAATGCATGAAGTGAAAATTTTCAATTATTTCATTGGTTGAAATGATTATGACACCCCTTTCGTAGTGAAAAGGTCCACAGAAGTACTTGGTGGGAAAACTCTGCAAAGAGAGGGTAGAGGAGTCAAATGCCAGTTGCTATAGTAAAGCGTAGAAAACCACTCTAGTATACATAAATATGAGTCAAAGCGAACTAATTTAGGGAAGAAAATGAACAGAAAAAGTTGTTGAAATCATTGAATCAATTTATTCCTGTCCATAATGATATAATGTATTGTTATTTTAAAAATTGAGAGAAAATTTGCAGTTAAAAAAATCTGACGCTTAACAATCAGGTTAAAAGAACAAACTTTATTTATTTCCATAGACATTATCTCAGCCATACAACAGAAGAAAAAAAAGGCGCGACGTGTGACATTTGGCGCGAAATGATTATGACACCCCTTTCGTAGAAGACAGTAGTTTAGAAACGCGGAGAAACTGTTACACGGACATGTCCATATTTAAAGAATCGCAAAGAATAAACAGGTGCATGTGGAAAAAAAAAAAAAAAACTGAAGGAAGTAAACACATCATTATTTTGCATCATTGATATAATTCTTTCTTTTGCAATGTGTACTTATTAAAATGCAGGTAACAAATTCCGGTGTAAATCAGCTTGCACAAAATCTAGCTCACTTAATTATACTGCCTGACGCTCGTGGCGTCAGGCAATAAAACTAGTATATTATATTAATTCTTTTTTTTAACCCCAATACTGCAGATATTTCTGAAATATCAGGCCCGTGGTCAGTCATTCTACGATAAATGGACCAATTCAGAGTAAAAAACATGAAAAAAATAATTGTTTCAAATAGCAAAATGAACATCATAATTTTCTTAAGGACATATCAGTGAACTGGAAAACAAAGAATTGTCCACAAATCTGGTATCGTTAACTTTTTACAACAATTTCAAGATACCATTGATTTTAATTTAATGTTACGGAAGTTAATGCTTGATCAAGCCTTATCATTTTTTAAATAAAGCTGAATTTCACCAATTTTTCGTTTCTGATGTTCAGCAGAGAACGCTGAAGTATGATTTATGAAGTCTCGCATGAATCCGAATTTAAATTAAATTTTTGGGAAAAATATCGTTACGGAAGTTAATCGTTACGGAAGTTAATTCCCAGCAATAAAAGTTAAAATTCTCTTCAATAGTGAAAATCAAAGTTTGTTTTAGGATATTAAACAGAAGTATAAAGCATTTCGCTCCCAAAATAATAAAAAAAATTGTACTATTAATGCACAAACTTTCATGAATCACCGTTACGGAAGTTAAAATTTTAAGAGAGACAACTGTTTTTGTCTTATTCATTTTGTTATGCCGAAAATGTAATCGTCTAAAATAGCTGACTCGCAACTAGAATTGATGATATCAGGTTCCATGGTCACTTTCAGATAAGTTTCAGTTCTTTTTGAAATCTGCATTCTATGCGTGAAATTTAAAATAAAATCGTTACGGAAGTTAATCGATTTTTAGCGACATGCTTATGAATTCGCATGAAAGGAGATCTATGCATTTCTTTGCGAGAAATAGTTTGATTTCTTTTTATATAGCATAAAGGACATTTTTTAACATTCATTGCAATCTATTCGGAACGATTTTACGGCTGAAAATTTCATCTTGAAATTTATAAATAAATGAAGCGACATCAAGATTTGCAGTGGAATACGTGTTTCAACGTTACATTATGTTCATATCAAAACTTTAACTGCATATATATCGGTGAATATTTACAAAACCATGTGTGTATGTTAAGTCTTAGAGTTGAAATCGACCTTTAAATTTATAGTTAAAATATTACAACGGTAAATTTGTAAGCGACATAAAAAATTCTTAATTGGTCATGTTTTTGTAGAATGACTGCTCGAGAACGGTTTCAAAAGGGGGCGGACATCCAAAAAAAAAAAAAAAAAAAAAAAAAATGTAACAAGCAAAAAAAAAAAAAAACAAAAACAAAAACAACTAGATGAGATCTCGTTGCGAGCAACGAGTGGGTCTTCCGTCCGATTTTTGATAAGATGAGATAAGAATTTGACTGAGATTTTCGTTCAAATATAATGATAAAAATAAATTGTTAAGACGAACAATTTTGCTTTAATAATGTTTTACAAAATATTGATCATTAAAGGAATATAGATTAAAGACTTTCGCCCCTTCTTGTGAGAGGTCAGCCCCTTTTTCTTGATATCATTTTAAAGCTCTCATGATTTTGAACACTTCTTGTTCAACAACTAGTCAGAAATTCTTTTTTTGTTTTCGGGATATATGCAAAAGAAATATTAAAGGCCGGCCCTTCAAGTCCTAAATGGGGACGTCTAGCAAAAATTGAAAGAGT